AAGAGGAGACATACCAACCCAGCGGCTCTCAAAGCCGGGAGCAGCAGAGACCTAAGAAAAGCCACAACCATTATTGTTTTGAGGAAAGAATCAGGGAAAGCGAGAGGCACGGGGGACGCTAAATTACATCTTGGACGTTTGATTTCGTTTATTCCAATACGAGAGACTTTTTCAGTGAGAAATAGAGAGGGTTGTCCTTCTTACACTCCAAGACTTGCAGCAGTTTCAAAGAAAGGAGTGTTTGTTACTGTCTGCAGGGGAAATCTGAGAGTGCGTAGCACAATGACAAATCCAGGCTCTGAAGTCAAATGCATTTTAAAAGGATAGCCATCGCTTACTGTCTCACCTCCTCGGCCTCCAGCCTCTGGCCAGGCTCTTCAGCTATTCATGTTTGCTCCCTGCCTCGCTAGGTTGCGCGCAGTGGGTGCCTAAGACCACCTTGCTCCACACCAGTACGGCACCCGCAGCCGGGAAGCCCGTGGAGGAACATCGCTAAGGTCCCTCTTTGTCACAGGCATACAGGTTTTCTAAGAAGTGTAATGGACAGCTGGCGCTGCTGAGGTCTGCAGGTGACGTAAGCAGCCACTACAGAAATACGTACTAGGGACGCAGATGGTTACCGCCTGCTCCGACACCCTCCGGACTCTGCAGTCAGTAGCTTCACTGATCTGGGGCTTGTTCCCTAACTCACATAGCTGCTGCCAGACAGACACCAGAGCTCATAGCATAGGTTCCTGAATATACGGGCTTTAAAATAAACTGAAAATCCACGTTTTAACCTTGGAAGACTCACAGCCCAGAAACTTCTAGGCTGTATCAGCTACCACTCCTAAACTATAGGTACCGCACCAGGTAACGGAGCAGCCCCAGCAGACGGCAGCGCTAACCCCAGTGCTGCCCCAGCAGCCCCGCTCCCAGGACTGCAGGGGAAGGCAAACAATCTCTTTTCTTCTTTAAAGCATCTCCACAGCAAGGGGCCAATTAGAGTATCCTGGTCTTACTAGCCTTTTAATGGCAAGCATAAATAGGCCCTTATGTATTCAAATCAGCAGCAAATGAGTGGTGAAGGTCACAGGACGCTTAAATGCCTATACAACCGCTCCCTCAGATTTCTGGAGAAAGCACTTGAAAAGGTTTAGCCATCAGGTCTTCTAACTTGTCTAGTCATCCGAACTACTGGTGCAGCTGCTCCTGACAGACAGTATTTCAGGTTTGTCTCTTTCAGCACCGAGTTCCCAGCCAATCATTCCCCAAAATAATACACTTGGCAGAGCAGACAACTGCCCTAGACTTTCGGATCAGTGCAAAGGAAGGGCAGAGCTCTTATAGGAAAGCAGCACTTTGAAAGGTCAGCCAGAAGACCACAGGCCAGGTTCCAACAGCAGTTGCAGCCACGTAATTTCTTATTCAACTTTAGCAGCAGAAAAAGGTAGAAATCAGAGAACATCATTCTCTGCATTAAAAGCAACTCTCCAGGCACTTTGAGGAAGCAAGAAGAGTCAGCAGCGTGAGGCACGTAGATGAGACTAATCCTTCTAAACTACACTTTAATACTGCAGACATGGGCATGGTGGGACCTCAGTATTCCCAAGGCTCTCACCGCACTCGGCCGGTGCGAGTGTTTAACTGTATGGGTGAGTTTGCAGTATCAATACCTCTGTTTGCACAGCCAAGTGACCAAGTGATCTCCAACAAGTCTACCACAGAGTTTGAGTGCACTTCCAGAAACACCAGCTTGTGACTTCAAGGGGCAGCTTTCCCCGGCTTACACCCCTCTGCATTTCAGGCTGCACAGCCCGAAGCAGTCTACCGCAGTAAGCAGCATACCAGATCAGAGCATCGCCGCAAGGCTGTTGTAACCCCATTTGTGCCATCCCCTTTTCACTGGTGGTAGCAGAGGCTCAACTTTACAACCAGAACAAGAGGAGGCAGAAGCATTTCTAAAGCTGTTTAAAACATAGGTGACCACTAGACTCTCGCCAAGTTTTATCTCCTGCAGTAGCATTTTGGACCCTTCTTTCAGCATGATGTGGCATCTGCCTTTTAAGCAAGTCTACTTTGATTACTGCAACACAGTCTAATAAAGCAAGAAAAAAATAAATCCAATAAGCTCCTTGGATAATCCAGGGGTTTTGTTTGTTTTTAGCAACTAGGCACTGAATAAATGAAATGATCAAGTAAAGCCAACTAGCTGAAGGAGTAAGAAACAACCAAGCGCACAAATACTGGCAGGGAAGAAAAGCCACCTAACTCAAGAGTATCATAAAGGAGGAGCCAGAGATTAAAGTGAGTAGGCTGTTGATTCTTCCGTCCCACACAAAAGCAGCAGCATGTGATACAGAGTTACACTATAGAAGAGCAAGGCAGATGTTCTCCAGTGTGCCCAGAGGGGTCATCAGCATAGAGGGGGTCTAAGAAGGAAAAAAAAAAAAAAAATACACAGCAGAACAGGCATTGTGGTTTTGGGGTTTCCCCTCCCCTTCCTCTCCCCCTCCCAAAAATTTGAAAGTAAAAGGTACAAAAGGAAAAAAGATCACAGAAAACAAGAATTGTGAAACGAGGGAGGAAAACCAGCTATAAAGAATTAGGACCCACTTTCTGCATGTTTTGCACAGGGAGAGGAAGCACTAGTTAGCACAGAGCTGCAGAAGAATTCACCCAGGTTATGAGCAAAATGCAGTAGCCAAGAATTGAGGATGTGGGTTCGCTGCTACTTGAAGTATTAAACAAAGCTGCCACCCTCGTTCTGGAATAACCACCTAATTTCCCTCACAGAGTAGGAAAATAGACTCTTGTTTTCAGAATCTAGTTGTTATGCACAGCATTACCACGCATACCACCCTGATTTGTTTCCTGTCAGCCCCCCCCCCCAAAATTGTTTTCCAAAACAAAAAGTCACAAGCAAGTTTCAGACAAAATATATATATTTAAAAAAAATCTTTACAATAAGTCAGGAAACATAGGAGCTTGCATACAGTTTATTATAATAACTCAGTTCTCAGCTCCCTACAGTTCAGTTAACCCTGGTGACAGTGTTTACAACTTCTAATTTTTGCTTTTATAACTTTAAAGCAAACAATACATTTGAGTGTATTTTACTCTGTGCAAATAAGACAACTTTTGGAATCCTTCAGAAGAAATATCCAAGATTCTGTTTGCAGAGGTCCTTTGTTTCTCAAAGATGATTTATGAGAGTTTTTGTTTTAAGATAAAGTGCTCCTGTCCAGCAGAACCCAAAGGCCTTCAAGAGTTCAGAGAGTGAGTTTAGCTCAGATTAAAAAATAATTGGTCATACAAATTCCAGCTTCCCATGTCCGCTGTACATTCCCCAGTGGACTAGCGAAAGAATTTTATCATTGCTGAGGTCTGAATGTCTCATTTTATCACAGGTCATGCAGCAGTTCTCGTGACCAGTCACAGGCACCATGCATTCCAAGTCCAATTTTGCCACCTGCCCTTTTTTCGAATGATGTCCATGAAAACTATAGTGCAAACGGGAGAGCATTTGCTGTCGTTGATCTTGCAGTCTCTTGTTTTCACTCCTGAGCATCCGCAAGGCCAGCATGATAAGGAGCACCAAGATTAGCCCACCAGCTATCGGAACAGCAATTACAGCTGCCCTGAACCATAACTCTTTCGAAGAGGTCAATTCCTGCACCTTGGTGATGAGATTCCTGCTGCTGTCATGTTGATATCTGCTCCCTTGTCCTGCCAAGGAGAAAGATGCAAAGCTTATTTCAGTATCAACAACTGGTTTATATGCAAGCAACTCCCTTAAACACCACACTGATAAGTTAAGGAGCCACACCTACACATTCTGCAGTATCTGCAGAAAATACTCCTATAAAGAAAAAGATGAGCTTCTGGCTCAGGCTGTTTATAACATGGCATTTCTTACCCTGATAGCTGATTTAACTGGGAACACCACTGTCATTGCTTCCTAGAAGCAATGTCAAGTTGGCAAGACAGACCTCTAATCTTAACGCAGACAAGAAGCAGCTACTCAGCAGAGTTGCTCCCCTGCATCCAGCCACCCACTTCTCTCCCCCTGGTGTCTCTACCTACATTAACAACTAAATCAACAGCAGACATACAAGGTTTTGACTATCAACAGCCTGATGGCCAGAAGAGAGATTTCACTGAAGCTTCCTTGTCCTACCTGAAGTATCGCCCCTGGAAGGAGACAAAACATCATGTAGTCCTCTGTAATTGCACATATCTTCATGACAGCATTCCAATGTGGACATGGTGGTGGTGCCAGAGTGGTTTTGTGCTTGTTTGGCTTGGCAGATATCAGCTGTGCTTGCAATAGAGTCCAAGCAGCCATGAGTAAGCGGGGAATGTGTATTCTGAGGATCAAGCAGTCTGGAGAAGCAGGCGCTAAGCTCAGATTTGCACATATAGCCGGTTGCAACACAGTGTGCAGCATCACAGTAGCATCTGATTTCACCTAAAAAATAAAAATTGTGCAAGAAAGATAAGAATTTGGTCCTTTAAGGACACCTTGCTAGGTACTCTTATAAGCCAGAAGCATCACACAACCAAACTCAGTGCCAGTTTTGGGGTACTCTTCTAGACTGTAAATCCACGAGAGCATCACCACACAGTGCCTACCTCGTTGTAACCTTAATCCCTGCAAATGCCTCGGGGCACTTGTTTTAATTACTAGTACTATAGTCCTTTGAATTAAAGCAAGAACATTTCACTAAAACAGGGATTGGGGGAGGGTGGGGGGAAGCGAGGAAGATCACAGTGTCTTTTCTTCCAAGTTAAATAACTAACAAGACCATTTTATAGCTACGTATGCTCGCTGTCAAGAGTTGCATTAAGCCACATTTAAAATGAAATCCCAGTTTTAAAAGCAATACACACCTTCAGTCCTATAAGGAAGTCACATCTACATTTTAAACCATTACTACAGGAACAGCATTCTATTTTTATAAAGGTAACACTTATTTTAACTGGGCGCAAGCACACAACAAAAATACTAGGTTTAAATATTTGTGTGACAAATGAAAAAAAAATCGGAACTGCTGAATTGTTTATTACCTCTCAATACTGTGCCAAAATTTAAAAGGTTTAACTAACACCTTATAAAGCTATTAGCTAGAACCATTACCATCTAAGTCTCCCAGTCAGGAAGGTTTTTACTGTGTGAAACTGGGCAACTATTTGTAATTTCTCCAGAAAGAGAAAAATTCTTTAAGTAGCCATTCATGCAAAAAGGTTTTTTTAATCAGTATTGTAAAACAGAAACAGTGCAGTTTATAATTAATCTGTTAGCTAGAGTCAATGTCTCTCAAGTCAAATGTAAAGCTATTAAATGGGGTGAAATGGTGAGGCTAAAAGCTCCCCCTTGCCCCTCCTCAATTTTGCATGCAATCCAACATGCGGTCAAAAGGGGAAACACTTAGACTGAAAATCCTCTACCGGCTCTATGAAAAATCTCTCAGGAAACCTCAAAAATTTCTGAAGGAAGCGATAAAAAAGTTCCCTTCATAAAACTCTTCATTTTGTGCTCTCCAAACTGCTCTGGTACAAATTATGTGTCCTGTGCTGTAGGGAAAATGTACTCTTTCTAGGCAAGTTTCAACTCAAACATAATTCAATGTGCCATCGATCCAAGGTTTAGGAGGAAGCCAGATTTTGGAGCCATCCATAGAAGAGTGAACTTAAAACTACTTCTAATGTGCCTGGTGTACTTGCCATCGCAGCAGCACCAAGGCTTTCAAAGTCAACTGAACTGTCAGATGTCTTCCTTCTACAGTCTGCACTTAAAAAAAAAAAAATATATATCTATCTACAGGCTTCCCCACTGCCACCCCTTCTTATGATGCTTCCTACCACCCCATACCTAAAAAGTATTCTGAAAGACGTTAAAAATCACCCTGACCAAGTTAGCTTCCCCTCTTCAGCCTACCTTAATACTTTCCCCAAAATGCTACTGCAGGCTCCAGGCCTTGAAGTTCCCGCTGCTCTTTAATAACTCTGCTTAATAGAAGCCAAATGATGGAGTGTCTCACTGTCTCCAGCCCAATTCCCTTGGGCTTTTAGGCTAAGTAACCTAATTTTTCGTGAATTCACACACACTGTCATGCAGCGTGCTATGGAAAAAAAAAAGACTCAATCATTTTCTAAGCATTCTATGTGAGGTCTTCCCCTACCCTCTCTGAAAAAATAATTTTAATCGTTTTCTCACTGTATGAAAGTTAAAAATAAGATGCGAACAAGGAACAGCACCAGAGCTGACAGTCCTTTCGTGAGTCTCGGCACGGGAAGAAAGTGAAACAACACACATACTTCCATTTTAACTGTTTATACAATCACGCTTAAAATTCTACATTTTATTGAGCTAAGACAATCTCATAAACAAAATCTGACAGGCTAGTCATCAGGTTAATTCAACTGCTTTTTAATTAAAGCCACATTTTCAGTGAAACAGGATGGACTTTGTATTACTGTATTAAAACTGCATTTCTGTCAATGCATAAAGTTTCTTCCTGTGCTATGCAAAAGGCCAGAAAGGGTATTTAGTATTTTGAAACAGTGAACAATGCCCTTCTGTTCCCTCCTCTTTCTTGTTACTGTATGCAGCTATTAAAGAAAAATGTCTGCTTTTAGTCAAGATGGCTACAGGAGAGACTGCAGGCTTCTCTTAAAGCTTTTGAAGTCAACAGCAGCCAGAAGTCTGTGATCCCCTAATTATATCATTATCAGGCACATAGTTTCAGTATCTGCGACTTCACATCACTCAGTCACTCCCTGTTCTGCCCGCTTTGATGGGGCCAGCAGGCTCCCCCCTGCCCGCTGCAAGGGCTGTTATTTAGGGCTAATTACAGCCTGCCTTCCAAAATAAATAAATACCGTCGCACATCGCCGCCGCGCTAACTTACCCTCTAACCTCCTCCCCGGCGCACGGCG